GAAGATTTTACCAAATAAATTGATTTCTTTAATAATTTTCGTAAACTATCCATTTTATTTTACTGTGCCACGTTTTTAACCAATCATATGTATTTTGTCAGAACAACAAAAAAAAAGAAATTAGAATTTAATATTTGCATCACGAATATGTACTCCCATTTTTCCAAGTCAACCTTACTCCTTTCTTCATTTTTAGTGACAATTCGTTTATTATAAAATTTAATGAAAATGAATGAATGTATCGATCGATACGAAGGAAATATCGAATTAAAAATTTCTGTTAGCATTTTGAGTAAAAATTCTCTGACTCACAAGAAAAAATCGATTAATTTTCTAAAGGCATTGATTATCTCCTGTATTTGTCTTCATGGTAGATTAGATAGAGTACATAAACGCTAAGAATTGAAATATTTATATTAGATATCAGGGATGATCAAATTAAACTTTAAATCAAATGATAAATCGGGAAAATGTATTCAGATAATCTCCAAAAGAGATTGCTTTTTTCGAACTTTGTTTTGTAAACTAGTATTTTGTGATATCTAGGTCAGTTTGTATAAGTTTATGTAATCGAAAATTTTAATTTTCTCATTCAAAATTTTTGTGTCGAAAAAAAAAAAAAAGTACCTTTTAACAAATCATTCAACACATCATACAGCACAGCATTCATTATAATAATTTTTTTTCATTGGCTAACCAACCCGAAACTTGGTAAGTGGGATACAACGTACTCACTAATGACCTTAACTATCTCTTTATCTACCGACAAGGCAACCTTTGGATATGAACAGCATACAAAGTTGCAATTCTTGGTAATACAAGGTTATTTTGTATACACGGAACCTTTATGAGATAAAGGGAAAACTGCCAGGAAAATGAAAAATTAGTTTAATGCTAAATCTATTCAGAAAAATATATTTTGCATGTAAAAGTAAATTTGATTTTAGCCACAGCTTCATGGTGTCGCATGACTATCTAATTCATATGAAGAAGAACGGAAATACAAATATATCATTTTTGTGCAATATGTGCGTGGATCAATGAAACAAAATGCGGAATTTTCCGATGGTTTGTGGTATACAATTTTAACTGCGGTTACAAAGAAACGCGATGAGACGTTATACGCTAATACGCACTAAGAGTTTTTAACACACCCATACCCAAATCACATTGCATTCACAAGTAAAAAAAATACTATTGCTTAAAAATATAAGCTATCCTTTTTTTTCTGTAGTAATCAATCATATCTAAACTTTATTAATAATTTTAATGATATCGATATGCATAAACATTAATTTTTTGATGTATATGTGTGTCAAGCTTAATTGAAGATACTAACAAAACAGCCAAGAATACATCACCATTTTCCTCTTGGAATCTTAAATGAATTTCTTCTCTCTATTTTTTTGATAACTGTCAACCACAAAGTTGGATATCTATGTTCGAACAACGATTTTGCACTTTCCAAAATGCTTTTTGTTTTCAAAATATAAATTAGCGGTTATATCATTCTCCCAGTTCCATCTACCAAATAATTTCAAAGTACAAAAGCATTCCATCAGTGTTTCGTTTCTGTATATCCAATCCCTGATAACATTACCGCTGATCTCAAGATGATGTTTTTTATTCGTAAAATCAGGTCCTGTTATATATGTGAATAGCCGGTAGTAATTATCCAGCGGTTCATATAACGAAATCTTTCTAAGATCATTTGCCATAGGTGTGGTAAACGGATAATCATCCTTAACCAGTAATCCAGACCAAAACCGCGTTTCGATTTTCCAATTTTTTTTTTGGGCTCTCACCATTAAGGGACAATAGTCGGCATCACCAGAAACTAGCAATAACGTACCCGGATTCTCAGTAAATAAGGATTCCATTCCGTCGCAAACGAGTTCTGTGTCAACTTTTTTCTCTTTTTTTGAAGAGTTTCGTGGGTAAGTTTTTACTTCACACCCATGATCCCTCGCTCGGGCCCATATCGTATCATTACGTGGTGGAATAGAGCCGACAATAAAGGTCTTGTTAAATTTTCGTCCTTTTAAAATTGTTGTGACAAGTAGACCATGATCTATATAAAAATCGAGGAAATCTGATTTCTTATGGTCAAAGGCATTCACTTTTTCAAGGTAACTAACGACTTTCGAGCCCTCAATGAATAGGTTAGAATTATCAATATAAATGGAGACAGAATCGTATGTAGGTTTTGGAGTTCTTGCTACAAGAAAAGAGATTCCCTTCATAAGTATAATAAAACCAATAAAGTTGACTAATGAAACAAAGGGTATAAAAAGTAAACCATATTGTGTTCACTGATTGTTACGACTCACTTACCGGTGGTAACAGTGGTGATAATGTGTTGTTCTATGTAAACATAATGTTTTTTTGGGTTTGATGATAAGAAGCAGGAAAGAAAAGACAAGATTAAGTAGGTATTCGGTATTATCAGTAACGTTAAACTATTTTATTATAGAACTTACCCTGGCGATTTAACCGAATTATATAATCCGCAAGGTTACAGGCTGGTCCTCTTCTTAAACCATCATCCATAAGCTTTTTTTCGGTATACCTAAGGAGCGCCCTACCGTTGATGCCAAGCTCTTTAAGTTTACGAATTTCATCGTCATTAAGAGAGAAATCCTCTTTATTAAGATTTAAAAATTTTCTGACATAATCTACGCTCCAACTTTCAACTGTTTTAAATGAGTGAATATCAGACATATTTATTTTAGTATCTATCAGAAAGAAAAAAAAAAAATTTGGATTTGGGTACACATTAATTATTTATCTATTGTCACACAAATCAGTCAGATTGACAAAAATTCACGTTATTATTGATCTATCATACTAGCTAATCAGAAAACAATAGAGTAGCAAGAGAAATACATGATGCTATCATATCAATGATTTTAATAATGGTAAGTTTGATTGGTTTGAATTTTTTTTTGCTTTAATTGCGCAAGGCGGATAAAAGGATTCACTAACAGGGACATCCCCTTTTTATACAATTTGCAGTGGGTCTAAGATCTTTGGGGAAAAATTTCGTGATTAACTCAGTTAACAATATTAATTAGGGATTACGCGTCTTTGGCTAACGCTAATAATTATTCCGTGGCGATCTGCTTATCCATCCATTTTCGTTCCTCACGATCTTCGGTACACGCAAATCAGGAGCACTGGATTAATCCTCGCAATATGTGTTGGAAAATTACATGATGAAAGTAACTCACCCTTACTTATTAATAGCATTAAAAGTAATTTAGCAGATGTAAATACAAAATCACGTAGAATTTTTTATTATGCAGAAATAAAATACAAAGATCGGGACTTTACCCGCGTTGATTCCCTAGGGAATCTGTTACTATACATTTAATATACACGATTATTGACTACGGAATATACCCGCCCGTATATCTCTCTTTTTTCGAACATCCAAAGATTTATGTTCTTTAATGCTATTTCATCATAATAAAATAACGGAAAATTGCTGGGAAATGCTGCATATATAACGATTTAAGAGATATGCATTAATACTTGGTAAGGGTTAGCGCAATAAATCCATCCATCAGGACATACACTCCCTACCCAAAAGTATTAGACCACCCCGTGAATTGCAGATCCGCAGTAATTATATGAGAGCAACTTAGAAAATATTTATTGAAATTTGATTATCGAAATGATCATCATCATCTCTTTTTTCCTCCTTTCCGCGCAA